GGTAAGAATCTTTGAGGTCCCAGTGTTATGGGGTGCTCTGAACATTTCTGTGAAAACAGGACTTCTGGAACTCTTCGAAAGTCCGATGACTTCCATTGTCCATTCTGTGGGGATAAATGTGCATTTCTGTTTGTTTTAATAACATTTGTAGGAGCTTTATATAGTGTCTATGTCTGCTTACATTAGACGCTGTGTATTATAGTTAAGAGTCTTTCACTATTTCCCATATAAACCTTGTTTTTTATGGGTTTGGGAGAGCTCAGCTGTAAAAACTCCCTTGGCTGAAAAAAAAATTTTTTTTTCAAACAGATTAGGTTTAAATCAGGAGGCTGATTTCAGACACTTCAGACCCTGCATATTTTTTCTTCCTAGTCACTTTTCATTTAAAAATGAGACTGGCTGATTTCTTAGTTTCGTTTCTTTTATGGGGATTTAGCAAGACCATAAGCTTAACTGTTGGTTGTATGATGAGAATGGATCCAGAGCCTTTTCCAAGGGAGGGGGGGGGGCGGCGCTGAAGCCTTCAGACCTCCTTCTAATCCTAGCTCACTAGCTCAGTCTTCTTCGACTGGATGTGTGACCCTGAGCTGGTCATTGGTCATTTCACCTTCCCTTCTTCCTCGCAGGAGCAGGATTCCTGCACTGAACCCTTCTAGTTTATGGGGAGAAAAACATGCTTGGAGAAGTGGAAGTTCCAAGGAAAGATGAATGCACTATACAAATATCAGAGGCTGGGACAAAGAATAACATGCTGTTTTCACCAGCAGAAAGTAGATTCCTGGAGTGAGAGTGTTACAGTCAGGAGAGAACCCAGAGGTCGAGAAGCCTACCACCTTCCTCACATTATAGATGGGATCCACTCTGAGCTGGGACAGGGGAAGAGAGTTACTGGTGAAGGCTGGGGTTAGAATCCAGATTCCTTCCCAAACCCCCTTCTTTCTTTCTAAACCACCTCACTTTGGGGGCCAAGAAAGGTCCGACTGAGACAGCTATATTTGTATGAACACACACACACACATCTTGGAGGTGCTCTGAGATGTGGGGAAAAGCCAGATCTCCAGAGGCAGACAGAGATGCCCTTTGATCCGAGCCAACCCACCTTTTACCGTCTGTGTGACCTTGAACGAAGTCCTTCACCTCTCCGGAGCCCAGCTGCCTCAGTATTAACCTCATGCAATCTTCATGAGGCTTAAATGAAATAATGCATGCTAAGGGCTTAAATGATTTCCTCTACAAATTTTAGTTGTTATGATTATTTCAGGCATTAATAGGTTTTAAATGTAAGAAAAAAAATAAACGTAAGAAAAGATTCTATTTACTGCGTGGAAGGAATAACAAAACTCTTCACAACAAATATTTACTATTGTATGTTAATGGGTGGTGATTATTAGGATTCTTTCATATTCTTATGTTGATACACACAGTGCCTAGCACCAGGTGGGTGCTCAATTCATGTATGTTGAATCAAGTGTACGAAAAGTACACTGGCCACTGGAGAAATTGGAAGGCAACGGCGGTGTAATTTTTTTCGTTGTAAAAGTAATACTTATTCATTGTTTAAAAATGTAGAAAAATATAGCTCAGCAGAAGGAAAAGTCAAAATTATCCCTATTCCCCAAACTCAGAGGTAGAGGTGTAAATGTTTTGATGTATATTCTTCCACTTTTTCTCCGCGAATGCTATTTAGGTTAGTTTTACATAAAGCAGGTCTGGATAAACAGTCTTTAGCAACCCGGGAAGGATTTTTTTTTTTTCCTCCACTTAATATATCATGAACAATCTCTATGTCAATTCCCACACTTTTTCCAGTGGCTGTGTAGTAACCCACTGTACTGATGGATTTATTTAACCAGTTCTGTAATTATAACACATCGGGTCCTTCTGTATTTTTCACTCTTCAGTAGAACAGTCCTGTCGTTAAAGCTTTGTAACATCAGTGACTACTCCCTTACAATAAATTCCTGGAATTTACTTTTAAGTCAGCGACCATTCCATTTCCCCCCTTGATTAAAAAAAGGGGGGGATGTTCTTAATTCAAAAATACTAATGACACTGTTTCTGCCTCTGCTGGATTGAGGCAGGTTTCCGACAAACCGCGTTGAACCCTGGGAGAGAATAAGGAAGCACCCGCCAGGCTCTAAAGCCATTCCATGGAGCGAGCGCTCACGAAAGGTGAGAGGCTGGAGAGCCGGCGGCGGAGACATGCCCGGGAGCCCGACTCCGGAGACCCCCTGCGCAGACTGGTTTGTGAAACCCGGAGCAAGTCCGCCGCGGCCTGGGGGCTGGGCTCTGCCAGCCGGCGAGGGAGGGCTGCAAGTGTGGCTCGGGCGTTCTGGGGGAGAGAGGGAGAACACCCCCACAAGGGGCAGCCCCCTGTCTCAGCTCCCAGGTCCTAGGCCTGAGATGGGGACCACACATGGTTGGAACTGAATTTGAGGCTCCACCACTGTCTTCTCAAGCACGGCTTGGGCCCGGCCGGATGGGGCTTCCTGAGGAGGCATGGTTATGCCAAGCTTGGCTCCGGCTGCCTCGGGCGGTACCCCTCGGTACCCTCTCCACTCACTGGCCAGGGCTCCGGGAAAGCAGGACCCGGGTGCGCATTCCTCCCGTGCCTAGGATACTTCACGGCGCTAAAAATAGTCGAGGGAGCCGAGCTCTGCGTAAAGCCAGAGGACCATCTATAAACTACACTGGAGTCCTGGGTTCGAATCCAGATAAGGCCCCCTTCCGTGTGGAGGAACCAGGATTGGCTTGCTCCCTGAGCCTCAGTTTCTCCATGCGTGTCAGGATGTCTAACAGGCTTCTCAGCTCTTGGAAAGAAAAGGAAAAAAGAAAAAGAAAACCCCTCGATTTTTCTTTTCTGTTCCTCCCTGAGGGCCTTGGGGCCTGGGCCCGGGGACTGAGGCCGGGGGAGGGGTGTGCCGGGCGGCTCATTACCGCGAGGTGTTGCCCTAGTTAAATCGCGGGCCTGTTTGATCTGGCGGCGGGTGGCGAGAGGAAAAAAAGGAAAAAGTAGGGGGGTCAGAGTAGAGAGACGCTCACACCTCCCCCACCGTTTCCTCGCACCCATAAAACACCTTTTATTAACTCCTTCGCGTCCGCAAGGGCTGGCGTAGCCGTTCAGCTCCTGCCACGGTGTTTACAGCCAAGTCTAATGGGGCCCCATATTCACCCCGATGCCGGGACGAGGCGCCTTGGACACGCCTGATCCTGGAGCTGCCCGGGGTCTCCTTTCTGGCGCACGCCCCAACCTGAGGGCCTCCAGCTCCGGAGCAAGAAAGCGCCCGGAGACCCGCGCGTGCGTCCGCGCGCCTCCCTGGCAGTGAACGCGGAGACCCGTGCGGGCACCGCAGACCGTGAGTTCCCTCGCGCAACGTGGGAGCTGTTGGGACACGTAAAGCGCTTAGCCTCGAGCCTAGCGCAGAGTTGCGCGCAAAGCTAGTTGTCTGTACACTGTTATTTAGGAATACGTAATCGCCAGCGTTTGCCTGCCCCACTTTAGCCTTCCACGCATCCTCGCCTTGGCAAATGCATCCGCTTTTATTCGCTCCTACACCCAGTCCTGGGTGTGCCCGTGGGGGCACAGAAACCAGCTGTCCTGCACAAGTGCCCGAACGAGCAAGCACACACAGTCCATCGCTTTGCACAAATCCACATGCTCTCTCACAAATATCTGTTTAGTGCTTTGTTGCTGCAAAGAAACCTGTCTCAATGTAACCATAAGCACTCACGAGCTTATTTTAGTCAAGGATAAAGTAATAGCCGCTATGATCTGTCGAGCTCTTACTGCATGCAGGGAGCTGTGCTAGGCACACCCTGTGCTTATTATTCCCCCCCACACACACAGTTGCGGGGCTCCGTGTGAGTTCCTGTACCACTACGCACACATCTATAAGATCAGGAATCTCACGTACATGAACATAATCCCCAGCGCATCCGCTCCTCCGAGGTGCAATGCCCTCGGATGCCCTTTATTTGTGTGACAAACCCCCTTCCCAATAACCCCAAAACACCGCCTGCAGACACCATACTAACCCACACACAAGCTCAAATGCTGACCCGTATAAAACCTAGCCTGTCCTCGCTGGGTCTAATTCATTTCCAGTTTTCCTGTCTGTGGGTTCACTAAAGTTATCCTGGCCAGCCATTATATTCTAAAAACTTTGTTCTTTGTCCCACGAATAAATCCTTTATCTACCCCCTTTCCCGACTTGAGTTGCAATTTGGTCTGAACATTTATCAAAACAGAAGTCAGAACAGAAGGTTCTCCACCTAGCAGAAAAGATGGGGCCAGTGGATATACCCACCAAGACATCACACAGGCTGCCTCTGATTTCAGAAAATCTTTTATTAGTCAAGAGCATAGATACTGCTTTGGCAAAGGGAGGGGGCGGTGAGTGGTCTTATAGATTTGAGGTAGAAAAAGGGTAGGGATGGGGGATAAACAAACACCTGAGCGCAGCAGGCATGGTAGGTAGTTTAAATACATAAAAACTTTTCAACATAGAGAAAAGTTTTTATTTACGAAGGAAGGAAGGAAGGAAGGAAGGAAGAAGGGAGAGGGAGAGAGGAAGGAAGGAAGGCAGGAAAGAAGGAAGGAGGGAAAGGAGGGAAGGAGAGAAAGCGTTTCTCTTGGAACTGAATAGGAAGTGCAGCGACAATAAAATAAAATAAAACACCACTGCTTGAGGGAGAAAAACAAAAGGCAGCCCTCCATCTTCCTGGTTTGGTTCTCTTTGCCTGGCAGAAAACTATTGATTCCTCTTATTGCATTTTAATTTGGGAAGAGAGCACCCGGGGGATTTGCCGCAAAGCGGACAGGAGGATGAGAAAAAGAGCCAGTAGGCAAAGTGGAGAAAGCATCGGGGGTTCTAAATTCGCCCCAGAAGGGTTGGAAGGGTGCGTTTTAGGGCGCTGGAGTCCCACAGTCCCTCTCTCCCGCATTGTGCAGCCAAGAGCCGCCCTCTCAGTTTGGGGGGGGTGGATATATATATATTTCTCTTTCTCTTAATGTATTAAAAACAATTTCAAATGACATTGCACGTGCGATCCAAGTGTGTTGTTGCAGCCGGCGACCTGCCAGCTTGCAGCCGAGGCTCTGCGGGATGCGCCCCTATAAGCCCCTGGCACCCAGAGCCTGGCCCTCGCTGCCGCCTTCCTCTCCTCCCGGGGCTCCGGGGTCGGGCAGCCGTGGCGGGGTCCTCGGCGCGGCCTCAGCTCACTGGTTTAACTCCAGCGCCCAGACTTGCTGCGGCCAGCCTGTGCGCCCTTTAATCCTCTTCTCGCCTGGGCCCAGGGCAGGAGGAAAGGCTTCGTGTTGCTGCTGCCAGAGGACACACAAGAAAAGAGGCGAGAGACAGGTTTAAATTTTTCTGCTCCTATCGCCCGGGCATTGAGTTGGGGTGGGGAAAAGGTTTTGGGAGCAGTAACTGGGCGCCTTTCAATAAGTGACAGATTTCTGTTTGCGAAATTGGCAAACAGGCTCATAAATTTGCCTTTATGCGCCAGAGTTTCTGGGGGCCAGGATGGGCTGGGCAGCTTCTGGAAGTATGGTAATGAGAATTTTCTGTTCCTCCTGAAATTGGTGCGCGTAGTTTGGGCTTTATGGCGCCAAAGGATGACCACCGGGGTTGGCAGGTGAGAATTCTACCACTGAACCACCAATGCCCCACGACCACCGGGGTTGGAATGGGAAGGGTGGGAATCAACAGTTTTCCCGCTCTCAGACCTGCTTCCCCCACCACAAGTCCCACCCGCTTTCCAACCTGGTTTAGCGTCGGGCTTAGTTGCGGGGTTGGGTCCCTGCTGGCATGCTGGGAGTCTCAGATGGCTAGGTGAAGGAGGAACGAGTCGGCCTGGCCCACTATCCTCCTTGCCGGCTCTTAGCACGAACGAAGCGGTGCTACTTGCAAGAGGTGTAGATGAGCAGTGGGTGGGGATATGCCCCCAAACTCCTTGCAACCAGGCGTCGCCCCGGCCTGCCTCTCCTCCACCCCAGTGGCAGTTTAGAGACCCGATGCCTATCAGTCTTTCCCAGTCTCCCCAGGAGAGCTTTCCCTAGTTTACCACAGCCCCTGCGAGTCAAAGAAAACCTGGCGGGGCATTCTGGCTGGCTCCAAACTTTGTACGGCGGGCCTGTACAAACCAATTTAGAGAAAGGAGTTCGCTAGCCTGGAAATCACTGCCCTCAGAGGTCCCAGAGCCCTGGGCCAGCGGCACCGCCCTCCAGAAAGTGTTGCCCTCCCTGGAGAGGATCGAGAAAGGTCGAGTAGGGATTGCGATCTCCAAAGCCAAAAGCAGTGGGGGATGCCCGTGCCTCTTGCTTGTCAGAGTTTACACACAAAACGGTCAAGGTCGCCCTAGAGAACTAGCTCGTGGCCAGTGGAGCAGGGGACCCGCTCTAGACTGGGAGTAGAAGACCTGACTTGTTTTACCCCAGTTCCACCTCTGACTCCTCAGTATGTGGCCTCTACCTCCCAGTCCCGTTCTGGGTCTCAGTTTCCCTATCTGTACAACAATGGAAGTAGCCTAGCCTCTTCAGCAAAAACCCTTTGAAAATAGTAACTGAGTCCACGTGCATAAACCCCCACTAAGGCAAATTAAACACTTCTACAGCATTCTTAACGTGGATTCCAGGAAAGCCCAGGAATGGATCAGACCCCCTTGAAATTGGAAGCAAAATATAAGACATGTGCATTTTCCCAGGTCTGCATCTTCCAAAGGATCCTTAAAAGGGATCCTTTTAGGATGGTTTTCATTCACAGCTTTACAAAGACTGTCCCACATTACAAATGAGCTCAAATATGAATCCGCCTCCCACCACCCACACAATCCCACACTACAGCCTCAGAATTCCCCGCAGCCTCTCAAAATCTCACACACGGCAACGCAGACTCCTTCCACTGCGAACTGGGCCTGCGGGTGCTGACCCAGTCCCCACCCTGGGCCGGAGCCCGCAGGCCCCGGACTTACCAGCTCCCTTTTCCGCTTGCTCTCGCGGCCGCCATCCGCCTTCTTGAGTTCGGCCTTGAAGGCTTCGGGGTCGCCGGCCTGTGCGTCCTTGGCCAGCACGTCCATCAGATAGGCGATGTAGCTGGTGGCCAGGCGCAGAGTCTTGATCTTGGAGAGCTTGGTGTCCGCAGGCACGTTGGGGATGCACTCGCGCAGCTCTGCGAACGCGCTGTTAATGCTCTCTGTGCGCCTCCGCTCCTTCTTGGGTCCTGAGGCTTTCCGCCGGCCCAGGCGGCCTCCGAGCGCCTCCAGCCGCCCGGGGCTCTGGCCCGGCCTGGCGTCCGGACCGTAGACTGCGGTGGCCGCCGCGGCTGTGGGCGGTGGCCCGCCGGCGGGGAAGTCTGGGGCAGCGTCGGCGGGGCTCAGCAGCCAGCTCTGGAAGTAGGGCCGCTCCTGGTGACAGCGCGAGGCCGGGCCGAAGAGGAAGGGTTCGTGGAGCATGGGGTGCGTTGGGTGTGGGTGGTGATGGTGGTGATGGTGGTGATGGTGTGCGTAGCTGCCCACGAGGTTCATGTTGGAGCGGCCTCTGGCCTGCGCTGCCAGCGCGATTAGCGCCGCCCCATGCGCCCCACGACTGCCGGGGCCACCCGTGGGCTCCGGGGCGGCGCTGTGCTGGACGCCGGCTTTGGGGCAGTGTGGGGCAAGGCTGAAGAGAGGCGCGCAGCCCGCCGGCTTCTCGCGGGCTAGGACGCCGAGGCCGGGAGACCTATTTAACCCTTCTGCGGCCTCCCCTTCAGGGTCTGGCTTATATAAGGCCGCGGCTTGGATGTCAACCTCTCCCTGGAGCCAATGGTAGGGGGCGGGGAGGAGGAAAGGGGGTGGCCGTCCCTGGTTTTAAGCTCGGGCTAGCCAGCACCGCTCAACTCTAGGCCGCCTGCGGGGACAGGGAGGCGGCCCCGCCTCCGCCTCCCCACCCCCAGTTCCTGGCTGGGGGGAGGCGGGGGCTCCCTACTTGAGGCACAGGCCTGTCAACACCCTAGACGGTGGCTGCCCCCTCCTCCCTGTGGACCCAGGGAAAGGAATCCAGAATCATCCGGGAACAGAAGGCTTTCACCTAGAGCCCACCCCTTGATTTCTCCTGATAGGGAAACTGAGACTCAGAGAAAGAGTGTCTTGTTTTTAGACTGTACAGAATTCGGAATAGGAATTCTAGCCCTTCTCAGTCCTGAGCTCCATCTACTCCCCTCAGCGTCAGAAGACGAGAGGGCCCTGCCAGAGGCAGCACAGACCCCTAACGTCTCCCTGAAGCACCCCCAGCCCCTAGTCATCAGCCTCATCCAGCGGGGGCCCTGAGCGGTACTTTGCAACCCAGTAGCGCACCCGCCAACTCTGCCCAAGGCATCTATACCCGCCCAGGGCTGGAGAAGATTTGGTGTGTGGGGGAGGGGGTGGAGGAAGTCAGGCTCCAAGCCCACAGGCATTTACTGATTTGTTCCGGGCTCCAGGGCCTGGGAGTCACTCTTCTCGCCTCCCGGGCGCCTGATCCAGCCCAGAGGCCGGATGGAGGGCCCGAAGCACAGCAACGTTGGGCCACTCCACCCAGGTCATCCCTGCTTGAGAATGTTCACACCAGCGCCAAGGCTCACAGCAAGAGAAATCGGCGCTTGGCAGTGAACACATACAGAAGGGACCAGGACCTCCACACTATTCGCAAGGCTGGTGCAGCCGGAGAACTACCACGCTGGCATCCCCCACCCAGGAGAGCAGAGAGAAATCCTGGCGGTGCAGACCTCCACTCTTGCCCCTCCCAGCTAGGGCCTCTCAGGGTCTGTCGGGTTCTCCCCTCAGGGGCCTTTCCCAGGACTCTCACTGGGACCTGAAAATCCCAGGGTGGTGCTGCTTCTCCGATTGAAGTAGCTTCGCAGCTGACGCCCTCATACCTGAGTCCCTCCATCCGAGCCAATCCTCCCCAGCCAACCCCCTCCCTAGGTGGGGCAGAGGGAGTATGCCTGTCTCCAAAGTGATGCTCAGGCCGGCGGGGGTGGGGGGAGATAAATATGTGATTGCTCTTTTTAAAGGACAAATTCATTCCTTTACACAGTCATTCAACATTGTTTATTGACCGCCCATGATGTGCCTGGCACACTTAGGAGCACAGAGGCAGAGGGAGAAAGGTCAACTCTCTCCTCGTCGGGATAGGAGAGGTGAGGCCCTGAGACAATGAGCCATTATCCCTGGGTTGGTAGCAAGTGGAGATGTGGTCTTCCTCTCCCGTACAAGGGAATCAATGGAAAGAGGAGGGGACAGTACAGGACAGAGGCAGACAAACAGTTCTGAGCAGGTTCCACTTGTGGGAGCTCGGCTGGGCTGTGGGCCCTAGAGGTGCGTGGGGGTGGGGGGAAGGGAGGTCCTGGTTTCCTGCCTGAGGCGGGCTGGAAACCCGTCGCTCTCCCGGGCGCCTGGCGCCAGCAGCGCTGGGGTTGGGCCGAGCGCAGAGCCAGAGGCTCCCCGGGAGGGAGCTCCCGGCGCCCGGTGCAGCCCCGGCTCCACGGGGTCCCGAGCCTCCCTGGCCTGGAGGCGCTCTTGAGTGAGGGTGTGCGGGTAGAAAGCTGTAATTACCCTGTGGAGAGGGACCTCAGTCCTCAACACACACCCAGCGTTTGCCCTAATCCGGGCGATCTCCACCCGCAGCATCTCGCAGCCGGCACACGGGGGCTCACCATGACACGTGCACATATAGGCGCACACAGGCTCACAAAAATCACTGGCGTACACAAAAGTCCATCTACTTATACAGATGCCCAGAAGTATGGGTATTCTCACGGTAACACATTTACACCCATGAGACACACAGCATTTCAATATTCATGCATTCCTAGAATTGTATGCATTGTCTCTGTCACCCACAGGGCACACATCCCAACTCAGCTGTGTTACAGCTATGAGCCACTCCCCACCCTCTAAGCAGGCATGCATAAAGATACCATCATACAGTAGAGGCACACGGATTCTACAAAAGTATCACACAGCTGCAGGGTTTTACACATAGTCTTCTGCCCACAGTTGCGCACAGGTTCACCAATTTGTATTTTCTTACAATTCCCCACAATCGTCTCCACAGCACAAACTGCTGAAAACGCCACCATACATTTCGTGTATTCTGAGTGTCGAAACTAAGTCTTCAGTCCCACAAACACACCCAAGCACACAGCCACAATCACTACCGTGTACACACAGGTGCTCCGACGTAGACGTTTTCGCATGTTTGCGCACTACACGCAGTCACCCAAATTGCAAAGCCTTAGACACTTTGACATATATTCTGTCTTACCTATAGGCAGCCACATTCACCAGCCTTGAAAACGGAGTTGAGCAACAGATGCACACTATCACAGTACCCACACAAGGGCAAGCACTCCTATGGATCCTGGCACTTACCCTACAAATTCACAGTTCCAGCACCCACTCACGCACATCCAAAGTATTTCCCCCACCTTACATAGATCCCTCAGAGCCCTCCACACCTCCCCCCCCCCGCAAATATCCGGCCTGCTTAGTGCGGTAGGAAATGCATTATCAATACTGGATGATGAGTCCCCTTGAGGGCCCTGAGAATGCCTGGCAGCCTCTCGTGGGTAAAGAGCAGGGTGCACCTAGTCATCTGGGCTTTAGAAAATACTGCTCTCCTCCCCACAACCCCCCCACTCCACCCCCCACCCCCGCCTGCGAAGGAGTCAAGTTGTCAGCCCAGCGGGGCCCACAGTGAGAACGCAGCCCTAGGGGACCCGCTGGAGCTTCGGGTTTGGCGGCCTCCAGCAGGATGGACGCCACCGAGATCGCCTGCGTAGACCGCAAGGCGCCTAGACTCCAGCCAAGGCCTTCTGGGAGACCCCAAAGTGCTTTTAACTCCAGCCTGGCTCAGGTGCCTTTGCAGTGCAGCGAAACGCGACCATGGGGACCCAGTGAGGACGTTCTCTCTCTCCGCCCCAGGTTATATGGTGTGCAACCCAGGAGTTTGGCCAAAACAGCTGTCGGCTGAGATATAAGACGCGTGTTCCTTTCCCTCTCTGGGCCTCAGTTTCCCCAATTTCAGAAGAAGTATAGGACTGATGGTCTGGAGTTTTAATTCCCAGCTCTGGACTGTTGCAAGGACCCCACCCTGGTTGCTCTCTCCGAGGACTTAGCGCTCCGCTCCAAGGGTCAGAAGCTGGGGACTCCGAGGGGCCTACGCGCGGGTCCACACTCCCCGGCCCCGCCTCCCTTCCGGTACCCCGCAGCGCTCACCGAGATAGCTCCTGCTGAAGGTCTGACACTCGTGGCGTTTGCAAATGCGCGCCTTTTCCTCCGATTGTGCTAGTGAGGTCGGGCAAGAACTCTTCCCCCATCTTACAGGGTTGAGAGCTTAAGCACAAAGAGGTTTAAAAAGTGTAGTAAAGGAGTGCTTCAGAGAGGCTGGCCGTGGAAACTGGTGCACCTGGGTTGAAATCCGGGCACTGTCACCCCTCCTTGTGTAAACCTTAGGATCCTCAGTTTCCTCCTCTGTAAACTGGGACACAGGAACACCCGCCCAGAGTGCTAGTTTAAGATTAACTGAAATAATATAGGTGAAGCTCTTAGCAAAATAACCGTAAACCTGGTTGGATAAACGGTGGCTCTGGCTTGGGAATTAATCTAACAGGGGAAGAAATGGAGTTTCGGGCGTCCACACGACTGCATAGCCCTGGATAGGGAGGGGGTCCAGGCCACTGGTCTCTGCTTGAAGTGCTGTGTCCCGATCTGACCAAGCCTGTTTCTGACCGCACTGGAATTTTCCTCTTTCCCCAACTACCTACGCTACAGAACCCCACTGCCATAAGGCTGGAGGTGAGAGAGACCGAGCACTGCCAGGTGTGGGGGGTCATGTTGCCAGAGACCTGAATTCCTTCCGGATCCCACCCACCTGCATTTCATTGGCTGTCTGATCTGGGGTAGTTCCGGCCCCTCAAAGACTCAGTTCCCCCGTCTGTGCAGTGGACTGGCTGTACTTAGACGCTCCGGAGTGACTTCGGCCTGGGCCCTGGGGTCCTTCTCCTGCCCTTTCGCCACTCCTCCCCTCACTCCCTCCCGGACCCCACACTCCAGGACTGGAAGGCCCGAGAGCCCGCGCCGCGGCGCCTACCGCAAAACCTTCTCCCGCCGCGTCCCGTGACCTTGACGCCACCGGCAATCCCCGCACCGGACCCCTTATCTAAATAGGGCCGTAAATCAAGGACCTGTCAGGGCCCGGGTAATTACAGGAACTCCATAAAAAGGACCCGGCCGGCCGCCTGTTTATATTAGCGTGGTGTAAAATATTCTCGCTGTCTTGGGGAATCGCGTCGCGCGGTAACGCGCCATAAATCAGCCCGCGGGCCATTTACCCCGCAGCTTGAGCGCGCAAATCCCTTAAACATTTCTCTGCGGCATCTAAAGAGTGCTTAGGACTTTTCGATCTGGTCCCACGCGCTCCCCCGGGCAGGAGAACAGTCAGGGCAGGGGAGAGAGAGAAAGCGGGTCGATTTCTCCTATAAGTTCGGGGTGTGAGAAGCCTCCTT